AATTCCCTAGATCAAGACCCCTCCCCAGCAAAAGGGAAACCCTTCCTTGAGGGGTTTAAAGAGAGGAAAAAGTCCAATTCTTTGTATCAAGTCCCCAACACTAGCATCAACTCATACCAGGAAAAGGGTCGAGAAAGAGCCCACGAGCAAATTGAATATCTAGAAAATATTTGTTTTTGGGACTTGACCCAAACAAACACGGGTTTTGAGAACAACAATACGGGCAAAAAAGGTGATGACATGACGTGAAAAGACAGCATCGGAATTACGAATCAAGGGACAACCACATCAGTGTGGACGGGTCTAAGGTTTTTTTTGATAAAGGACACAAGTGCAACTAATGCAACATTTTATTGTGCAAAACACTCTGCGGGAACTTTTTTAAGAATTACAAACAAGGACACAGAGAGTATTATAGGTATAGTGTGGGGTGCAAAGCAAAATAAAATCTTTTGGGGTAAAGTAGTGTATTGTGGTAGAAAAGGTAAAAACTACTTCCCCCCACCTACAATGATTATATATGCTTTGCACCTCAAAATTTAAACTAATAACTCCTGTGTCCGATTTTTTGAATGGGTTTGACAAATCCGGAGAGAAAAATGTTGCCACAAAAAATGTCACATTAGTTACCTTGTGTCCTTTTATCTAAAATACTGTCGAAATTTCTACCATCATATAAATCAAAGTTGTGTCCTGTGATATTTTCAATGTAAAAAAGCGGGAAAGCCTATTAATTATTCACTAAAATGAATAAAAAAAAGTTGGAAATTTTATGGTGGTTGTGGGGATTTCTCCCCTGGCTCGGGCACAGACCACCTCCTAGGCCCCCATGGGGTTGGTCACAGACCAGGGCCCCCTAGGTCCCCCGGGCTTGGTCTCTTAGGTAGGAAAGGAAAAATTACAAATTAAGAACTATGTATTCAAAACACAAAGGAAAGTAAAAAGGAAAGCCTGTGTTTTTTTGCCCCCCTTTACGCTCTCAATTTTTTCGCAGTTTTTCATTTTGTTATTGTTGTCTTTTCTGCTTTTTTTGCACAACCCGTTTTTTGTCAGGGAAAGTTACCGGGGGCATGTTTTAAGTATTTTTTGAATTTTTATTTTTTTACTTCTGTAGGATTTTTTTATGCCAAGCTGTAGGAAAATTTTACTTAAGTGTAAACTGTTACGGGCATTTCGGACCCCTTTTAATATTGAAAAAAAAAAAAAAAACTTTTCCATCGCCCAACTATCCTTATCAGTGATGGTCAGGAACATAACGCATGAAAACAGGGACCTCCCGTAATAATAATATTTTTCAAAAAGCATTAAAATTTGGGCCTGGAAAGTAAAGATGTGTGTGTGTGTTGTGTGTGTGTGCATAGTGAATAAAGTCGAGGTTTGTAAAAATTTATATAAAAGGGAAGTCCACCCCGAGAGCAAGCTTAAAATTTAGGGGGCCGTCAGGGTGCTGTGGGGAAATGCAGCCCCCTATTTTCACTCAGTATTATCGCTAACATTAAAAAGTCTTTTTTTTTTTTAAAACTTTTTTTATACTGTACATTATAAATCAAAGATTAAAGAAAAAGGGGGGGCTGCGAACCCCCCCATGGCCGCCTCTGTTAAATTCCTTTCCACACCCTGCTCAGTAACCTACATTGACAAGGTCACTGCACTACTGTCAGGACATAGTGTGTTGTGTGTTTATTTTTAATTAGTTGATTTTCCGAAGACCATCACTCCATGCAGTGTTTACATATCGCATATATGCCAATTTTTTTAACAGATTTTTTGTAGTTTTCTAGAAAAAACAGGCTGCTGACTTACTTAAATTCTTTACTGACTTACCTAATTGGGCTGACTGACCTACTAAGTGACGTACTGACTTGACTGACTAGCTCTATTGACTGCTTTCTAATCAATCAATCAAGTTATTCTCTATAAGGATTACAATGCTGGGTTTTTCGTTTTGGGTATTGGTGGTTTACAGTTATAAAATACTAATTACAGAGGGGGGCCCCTAGGGCCGTAGCAGGTAGGCATTTTGGGGAGACTTAGTTAAATTTTTTAACTCTAAATTATTCAAAAATGGAATAAGTTGGGATTAGGCTAAAGTGACTAATTATAGTTTGTGAGTTTCAATTGAAGCTTTTTTTTTGGGGACAATACATACTTTATTATTTTAATCAAGGGGAAGCGCTAAACCCGGGGGTTTTCAGCGCCTGGGGGGGGGGTGTGGGAAAGGGAAACAGGCTTAATTCGGGGAAGGAGCAAAGATCCAATTTTTTTAAATCAAGAGCCCCTCCCAAATAAGGAACCCTTTCCCTTTAGGGGGGGACAAACAAAATTTCTATATTTGGGGTACACAGGCAAACTTTTGCTAGTTAGGACATTTTTTTAAGATTAAAATTCGTATTTGTGTTTATAGTCAAATGGGTGATGTAAGTGTGAACCCCCAGGTGGTTTTCTGTAGTTAGTTGATGGGGGGTATCAGGGGGATAAGATTTTTTCTGAAGGTAGTTTTTAAGGTGATGAATGTGCGCAGTTCTAGAGTTTTCAGGGAGGGTGTTCCAATTTTTTAAAGGGCCCTTTTACAACAGTTTTTGTAAAGGGTTTTGTAGGACACGGGGAATGTTAGAGATGTTTGTGTCTGGTGTTATCCTGGGGTTCTGTCACAATATCAAGGGTTTTTGGTCAAGGTTAATAGGGGAATTTAAGGTCCGGGAAGTAATTCACAGTAGTAAGTGGGATGTTCTGAACGGGTAAGTTTAGACTTTTTGAAGAGTGGGGGGGGGGGGGGTTTTCCAGGGGTGGGGTGACTGACTGACTAAGTGATTGACTTACTGACGGACAATGACTTACTGACTTGACTAACTTAGTTAGGAATACCCACCGACAAGGTCGAAGAAATGGACTTGATACTGAGATGCTTTTCCGTTTTCCCCCAAACTTCCGGTACAGCTTAAATACTGGGCGGGTTTGGGGCTGGTATAAGTCTGAGTGATCTTTAAACAGTAAGTTTTTTTAAAAGGGTACCCTTTTTTGTAAATTGAAATTGTTACCCAAAAAAACCCCAATCAAAAAAAAAAAGTCAAAAAATGGAAAATAAAAATAAAAAACGCCAAAAATTTATATCATTATCAATGCTGGAACCTCGGCTTATGAATTAATCCCTTCCCGGGCGTTGTTCGTATCCGATTTTTTCGTATGCCGAGTCAATTTTTTTTCATTGAAATTAACTGAAAACCATTATCCTTTCCAGTGGAAAATTCCTGCTCTCAGGGAGGAAAAATACACTTAAATATAGAGCTAATTAATCTACAGCTTTTTTTGATCTATCACAATTGCTCTAAATACTAAAAAAATATAACATAAAACCTATACTCAGAATAAAATATGTCATCATTGACAAGGGAGGGGGCAAACTGCCCCCCACATTTTTGTGGGTTTTACTGCCCTTAGTGATGGCCTTTAAAAACCCTCTTATTATAATTATATTATAGTACATTATTTTTATTACATATTATATTAATTTTTTTTCAGGCTTAATTTAGGGAACTGGGAACACAGTCCAAATTCCAAGTCAAGAGCCCCCCACCTGTATGTACTACTACTACTCAACTAATAAAATAAAAATTAAAAGGGTGCCCGTAGTTGGGGACCACCTCAGCAAAAAATTGGGAAACCCCTACTTTTTACATGTCTAACTTAAGTATCTATAAATATTGGTTAAGTCTGCCTGAAATCCTCGATATAGGGCTTTCTTTGTCCAATCAGTTTATTAAAAAACACTTTTAACCTTTTTCAAAATAAAAATTTTTTTTTATTTTTTCATTTAAGGAACCCCCCTTGAGGGGGAAGTACACACCTTCAAATTTCATTCGTATCCAGAAGCAAAAAATCGACCGAATAACGGTTCGTATCCTGAAAAGTTCACATGGTAGGGCATTCATAAGCCGAGGTTCCATTGTATAGGGAAAATGATTAATCCGTTCCCATGAAAAAAAATCCTATTGTTATTGGCATATTATACAATGATGGGGTTGTAAAAATAATTTAAACACTGCTTAATACTAAAATAATGTAAATACAAAGAATTAGATGAAATAAATGCAAATTTAACCTCACTTTATTTTGCTGAAAAGAGTCGAGTGCCTACCAGGATAGTGCTGAGAAGGGAGGAGGAAATGTTATTGTTTGGAAGGAGAGTCCCCTTCTCTTTTCTGTCTCTTTTCCCCATTTTGACCTGGTTGAAGCTCACCAGGTCCAAAGAACTTTGCTTCTGCCTTCTCCTCAGATGTTTGGAAATGTGACATAGTCTGGTCATTCCATTATTATTATTATTATTATAATCACGGGAGCACTAAACCCATAGGATTATACAGCGCATGTGGGGGGATGGAAGGTATTCAGGCTCAATTCAGGGAACTGGAGTACAGATCCAATTCCCTAGGACATACACACACAGGCAGAGAGGGGGAGGGAGGGACATACACACACACAAGCAGAGAGGGGGAGGGAGGGACATACACACACACAGGCAGAGAGGGGGAGGGAGGGACATACACACACACACAGGCAGAGAAGGGAGGGATACCCACAGGCATATGAGGGGAATGGCCACCCACAGGCAGAGAATGGGAAGGGACACACACAGGCACTGGAGAAGGGAGAGGGACACACACAGGCAGAGACGGGGTGGGATACACACAGGCAGAGGGGAGGGAGGGACACACATAGGCAGAGTGTTTTTTATTTGTCAGCAATAAACACTATGGCAAATTTACATGGTACTCTCTCACTACCTTCATGATCCAACAAACTGGTACTCAAATGACCAACACATGACTTGTAGTCACTTACATTTACTTTAAATGTCCTAAACCTATCCAACAGATATTCAACAAAGGACACGTGGTCATCCCACGTATGAACAACTACAATTATAACAGCTAGGTAACCTTTCATAAATATTTCTAAGACATTAATCTGCCTCAGTTTAACAATTAAACAATACTACATACCAGGTAGCTTTCCACAGGATTCCTTTGATACTTTCCACTTTCTGCCTCAGGTTTGCACTCACTGCCTCTGGTTTCCACTCACTGCTTCTGGCTACCTTTTCTTGGCTGACTCCCCGGACTCCAAAATCATATTCATCAACCTGTAAGAAACAAAAGCCTTCAAAAATCTAAAAAAAAACAAATTATTGGCAGCACCACAATCGAGACATTTAACACAAAAGCCTCTTCAAATCTACAATCTTTGCAGGTACTTCTAATCAAGAGCAAATGGATAATTTTCAATAACAAAAACTTTGGCAAATTTACTTGCCACAACCTACGTCATGACCCAACAAAGTTATACTAAAATGGCCAACAGATAATTTCTAGACATTTACATTTACTTTAAATGTCCTAAATATCTCCAAGAGATATTCAAAATGGGATGCAGGTTCATCCCACGTATTACACACTAACTCCAGTTATAACAACCAGGTAAGCTTTAAAATCCTACAAGAGCCTCATGGATAAATATTACAAAGACAGAAATTTACAATACTACATACCTGGTAACTTTAAAGAGACCTACTTTACAAACAAAAAGGCACAGAAACAGAAACATCTGCTGTGACCCTGGAAAAGAAAGGCATGAACATGGACTCTCATATGATTTACGAGGCCCTGGTCAGAATTCCTCGTAAAACAAACTGTTGAGCCTTAGATAAACTCCTCCATGATAAGGTCAGCATAAGAGAAGTTTGCGTTCTTGCACTGGGCTCAGAACTGCATCTACAATTTAATACAATGATGCTAAAACACACCATGCTCCAAGAGAACCATCATCCCCCAGACAACTATATAGACTTTAACAGTCAGTGTAATCCTTGGTTTTAACAAAATTGTTAAGCAGTAGGGTCTATTATTCCTGAAGTCAGATGCTTCAATGGGACACATTTCTATGTCTTAAGGGAGATTTGACTATACAAACACATGCATACCATACAGTTCTTTCCTCTAGTTGACTTTTGTTGGGGCAGCGACCTTCATGTGATCAGGTGAAGATTGCTGTGGTCATTTTATTGTCTTTTCATCATTGTTGGTTTTCAGGAAGGTTTTGTTTTCCAATTCACAGGTCCATCAATGATCTATGATGATCTCTGCCCCTACAATGTTCCTGGGAAGAAAAAAAAAATGTTAAGAGACCACACACACAAAAAAGAACTCTGAAGAAGCCTGTTTAGGTTCTTTATAGTGTGGGTGACAACCCACCAGCATTATAAGAAAATGATAACCATTAAATATGTTTACTGCAACACAAATCACAACCACATGACTTTGCAGATTTGCAACACAATACTGTAGGGAGGTTTGTAGAGATAATGCAGCTGAAATCTCAGGTTCAAACACAATGTTACTGAAGCAGAAGCATAGGAAGGATCATGCAAACCACATGAAGACTTCAGGACAAGCACCCACCCCCTCCCTATATATAAAGAATACAAGAGTTGCATTTTTTGCTAGCTCACTTACTTATATCAAGATAAACTAGGTAGAAATGAATGATCTGCAAATGGCAGTAGGTTGTGCCCCTACACCGGTAGGTGTAGCCCAGCTACACCTACCGGCTACCTACACTGACTTTCTACAAATAAATACTACTCACATCTCTTCCTATATTAAGGCTACACATATTTTAAGGTAAATAATGAGTGTACTGTGTGTATTTTACCTCTGGGATGTTTTAAATATCGTATATTAAGTATGAGACGGTGAGCCAGTGCTACCTACACCTGACTTCCTACAAATAAGTACTACTCACCTCTCTCCCTCCATTAAGATGACAAATACTTTAAGATAAGTAATGAATTTACTGTGACTGTATTTTTCTTTGTGTGTTTTTAATGCCTGGTTCTATTACTATCTTAAATATATTTAGTGTAAACTTTTTGTCTGGCATTTATTTTGCATTTATAAATGGAAAAAATGGCGTTCTGCCTTCCGGTGATGTCTGCTTTCCGGCGACAGCCTGGAACCTAACCCGCCGTATAAGTGGGGCCCTACTGTACCACCTCAGAAACTTTAAGATTGTCTATATGTGAATAATTTTCATTGCTTGTGCTTGAACAAACGTAAGTGTCCACGTCCTCACAGAGTTTTAAATACTACATGTCTAGCTAATCTACATCACATGTCTTCAAATTAGCCATAACCCCCGGCCGGGATTGAACCCGCGGTCAAGAGTCTCAAAACTCCAGCCCCTCGCGTTTCCACTAGACCAGCTAGCCACAATAAGATACATCCAACTAGGTATATTCTACACCATAGGAAGGTTAGCACAGGCACCCCCAGTGGTGCCTGTGCTAACCTTCCTATGGTGTAGAAATATACCTAGTTGGATGAATCTTATTGTGGCTAGCTGGTCTAGTGGGGAACGCGACGGGCTGGAGTTTTGAGACTCTATGACCGCGGGTTCAATCCCGGGCCGGGGGGGGTAGGGTTTTTGCAATCATTATTAGTTTTCTTAGTCATGTCTTCAATTTAAAGTATCCAAAATGAAATTAAAAATCATTTGGTACACCGATTTCCATCTTGTACTCCCCCAATGATTATTATCACTTGGAACCTGTCATTCCCCTTCTATATTTTTCCCCCACGGGTTTTTATATTGCACACTCCACTCACCTTTTGTATCTCCCCCGGATAATTTTTATCACTTGGCACACCGCATTCACCATTTGTACTTTCCCCAGGTATTTTTATCACTTAGCACACTCCACTCACCATTTGACTCTCTCCAATGATTATTTCACTTGGGGCACCCCGTCATTCCCCTTTTGTACTTTCCCCGGGAATTATTATCACTAGACACTCTCACTCCCCCTTTTGTATCTCCCCAAGTTTTAAATCCTTGCAACCCACTTTCACCACTTGTACTCTCCCCGGGGAAATTATTACCCTTGCCAACTTACTCACCATCTTTTTCTCTCCAGATGTTATTACACTTGGCACACCGTCATTCCCATCTTGTACCTCCCTTTTGAGACCCCATTACCGGGTAAACCCAAAAAATTTAATTCTTGCCCTTTCATTTTTATTGTTTAAGTCTGAAAATTAAAAAGTTGTTTGTCTTAACGACTTAATTCATTTTAAAATTTTACGCATTTTCCCGGGGAAATCATGGGAAAAATTTTTAATTTTCAAAACCTTAATTCTAAAAAGAGGGTTTTATGAAGACGGGCATAGTCATCTTTCCCCGTAATTAGTTCATCATCAAGGATTGCTTTTGTGTTTTGGCCCTTTTTCTTATCCACATTCAGAACCCTTTAGGGTAGAGTTTGTTCCCCTTTTTAAAAACCCATAAAGCTGCTCATTGTTATTTTTTAAATTTGCATTTTTCAAAACCCCAGCAGCTTATAGTTAATCCTGAGTTAGAAAAATTTAAAGTGGAACCTCGGTTTTACGAGTTTAATCCATTCCGTGCCTTGCTCTATCCCGATCTGCTTGTATGCTGAGTCAATTTTTCCTTTTTTAAATTAAATGAAAGCCATTAATCCGTTCCAATGGAATTCCTGCTCAGGGGGCGGGCAAAAACATTCAATATAAGAAAAATCAACCCTGCAGCTTATTACTATCACAATTCACTAATATGACATGAAAAATTAAAAAAATAGAAAACTTGTTATACTCTGGAATAATAAAATACAATTTTTTATGTGAGAAATGGGGCGGACTTTTCCCCGCCCCTCGCAAAAAATTTTCCCATGCTTCCCCTTCCGAGTGTTATGAGAGAAGGGAGTTTTTTGTGAGGCTAACGCATTAGATCTTAGTTTCTAAGGAAAACATGAGTAAAAAAAAAAAACTGATGCTGTACACCTTTTACCTTTGGGAAAAAGATGCGGCGAAGGTTGACGGGGGAAATTTTGGGCAAGGGGCATGCTTAGGAGTTCATTTTCATTTCACCTTTTTCTTTTGCTTAATCCCTTAATTAATTGCTACACTTTTAAATGCTACACTTTTATTGAACTTAACTGCTACAATTTGTTTTTTTTTTTTTTTCCACTTCAGGTTTACGAAATTTTTGGGTTTTTCTCCACGGTTTTTACACTTTCATCACTGGGGGTTTCAATAAAAAAATGTCCCCAGGAGGGTTTGTTTCTTTCTTCTCGTTCAGAATTTTTGGAAATAGTTAGCAAGTTTTCATTTAAAAAGCTGCAACACTAACCTTTAAAACTTTCTCGGGTGTTTCCCTTTTAAAAAAAGTCTGAAATCTCTCCCCGATTCCCCCAAATTTCCTTTTTCTCACTTGTGAGAATCCCCTCCACATCTGGTGCCTCCGCAGTATGAAGTCCTCAAAAACCTCCTGATGCTGCTGCATATCAGTTCATCTAACTCCCTTTTTTTCAGCTCCTTGAGGCTCCCCCCGATGAAATTGTTTAATTTTCGTCTCCCCTTTCCTGCCTAATATCTTTCCAAAGGGGCACAACTCCTCCCCCACTGCCACTCAGTTTTAATCCTTTGAAGTCCCTTTTTTGGGAAAACATAGGCCACAGCTTTTTCCTTGTAAGGTCAAAGGGCCTCCTTGTAACACCCGCCAGGGCCTATTTAAATTTTGAGGCATATCTGATTTTAAATGGTCCTTCCAGGGGGTAGATTATTTTTCCGGAGATCATCTTAAAGCAGAAAAAAAGGCCAGGTTTTTCCCCCCCACAAAAAGGGTTGCCTGGTGACCCATGCCTTCGGTTTTTCCTTTCCCCATAACCCGCAAATTTTTTTTTAGAAAATTTTTTGGACTTAAAGGCTCTGGGTTTTCTGAATGATATACCACAGCAGCTTGACTTCAGTTGCCACTACATTTATCACGTGTAGGGGAAACCATCCTTCATGGGTTTGTGGCTTTGCATCTTCTTTTCCCTCGCAGTTTTGTGAGTCCCTCCCTTTTCACTTCCTCCAGAAACCCCCTTTTCGTAAGTTGAAGATTTGCTGAGGGATGACTTTCAGCCTATACTTTTGAAAAAGTTTTGAGAAAATCCTCAGCGCCCTTTAAATAGGCTCATTTCCCTTTCCAGCCTGATAAAGAGTGAATGTCGTCCCTTTTTGAACCACCCGACTGGGATTAAAAATGCATTGAAGTGCCTATTTTCTGCAGCAAATCAGCATAAATGCCCTGCCTTCTCGCAGATGATACCCTCAGTCACGGGACTTTGCAAGCCCGCTTCTTGTCAACCACATCAACAAAGCTTCTCCATCTTTTCTGGGGAAGGTCAAATGCTTAGAAATTCTGTGACAACCTTTGCTGGGATTATAGTTTTAAAGATCCTTTTCTTTTTATTTTACATAAAAGAAGTGCATGCTGGACCCCGACCAGGGAGTACCCGAGAAAGCTTTAAAATGGTTAGTGTTGCAGCTGTTTAATGACACTTGCGTAGCTTATTTTGAAAAAAATTTTGAAAAGAAGAAGAAACAACCCCCTTCGACAGTTTTTTATTGAAACACCCTGTAGTGAAAGTGTGAAAAACATGAGAAAAAAACAAAAAATCTGAACAGTGAAGTGAGAAAAAAAAAAAAAACAAAATTTTGCAGTTAAGTTCAAAAGAAAAGTGTAGCAATTAATTGGTTTTTAAACACTAAAAAAGGGTGAAAGAAATAACTCCTGACAGCATAGCCGCCTGCCTTCATTCCCACCGTCAACCTTCGCCCCATCTTTCTCCAAGGTAAAGGTGTACTGCACCAGTTATTTCTTAAATCATGTTTTTTCCTTTTGAAACAGAGACAATGCAGTTACCTCACAAACACTCCATTTTCTCTTATAATAACACTTCAAAAAGGGGGAAAATGGGAAGATGTTTTCGCGAGGGGGCGGGGAAAGTCCGCCTCCCATTCTCACAAAAAACGAATATTTTTTTTATCATTCCAGAGTTATATTTAAAGTTTATTCCTATAAAGATTACAATGTGAATTTACAGAAAATTTGTTTTGGGTTTAATTATTAAAAAATGATTACAAAAGGG